TTGATTGTCATCTATTATGAAGATTGATGTTTTATACTTTAGATTAAAAGTGTTGCTTCAAGCTTTGTAATGTACATTTTCTGGAGACATGAAGATTCTGTTTTTGACTCTAGCAGTTATAATATCTGAAGCTTATTAATGTGAACATGTTCATTTTTCTTATGTGATCTGAAGCTGGTATATATTAAGTGAAGATTCCAGCATCTGATCTCTGAAAGTGCAAGTCTTTTCCTTCTAGATGTTCAGTCCCCCTTCCTTTATTTTTAGTGTCAACATTCCTGAGTAATTGATTGAGTCTGTCTTTCTGCAGGCAATTTCGAAAGACCAAGTTACCAGAAATCCATGGGGACTGTTGTCGAGTCTGCTAACCAGGTAGCTTTCTTTTCAACTAAATGTGCTTCATATATACAGAGAATATTCTTATTACCTTGATTATTGGTGTCCACTTCCTTTGTGAATGAGTTCTCATTTTCATATGGTCTAAGCATCTGGAATCTAAACAAAAGTGAAATGCTTTCTACACTGGACGGCATTATTGGAGGGATGCTTGACCTTTAAGCTATCACTAGTTTCTCTATTGTCAAAGCAAAGAGAAGTTCTACTATAATTAAAAAAAACCTGCAGAAAAAATTATGAGATTTTAAAGACTTTAAATAGTGGAGTTGTGGTGTCCAGTTCTGGTACAACATATGGGGCTACAACAATTGCACTGTGAAATTAGATACCGATTTTCTAGATTTGCAGGATGCATGTACCAACAGCAACACCAAGAAAGAGCGGAAATAAGGGCTTTCATGCACTTGTAATTTCTGAAATGTACGACCAATATATATCAATTTCTGAAATGCAACTAAAGGGCTTATCAATTAAAAATTTGTGCCTCCTCTTTTCAAGATGTTTGTTCAAAACAACCAAATGCCATTATAGATCCAGAAATTGGAATAAACTAAGCCCAACTTAGGTAGCTGGAATACACTAACCAGCTTCTGGCTCTGGTGTCTCAGACAAACCAGCTAAGTAAATTTGAAACTATGAAATTCATATTATCTCCTAATTTAAAAAGGGATCATTTTAGAGACAAGATGTAAAGATGACACAAGCCTGCAAGTATATCTTCTTTACCTGCTTGGATAGTAATCAATTCCCAAAGAGTGCAACCAATGTTCGGGAAGATATGCCCACACCAGAAAAAGAACTGCTCATGGAAAATAATAGAAACCAATCAGACTTCCGTATGCATGAAATCAAATAAATGTTGTGACCACTGGAATAACAGTGGAATTAGGTTAAAGCAAAGCAGCTATACATACAAAATATGAGAGCTCAATACTTTA